TTTTTTGGTTTTTTTACTCTATCTTTTCACCAGTTAGTGCTTCATGGGAAGACTTTCTTGAGACAGTCCAGCTTTGTTAAGGAATTATAGAATAGTTTGTGTTGGAAGGGACCTTTAAATGTCGTCCAGTCCGAGCCTGGTGCAATGAGCAGGGACATCTTAAACTCGATCAGGTTACCCAGAGCCCTGTACAACCTGACCTTGAATCTTCTCTGACTTCTTCCGTCGATTCGAGTGAACTTAAATCAAGCAATTACCCTTGTCCAAAAACCTTGGTGCCTTCTTCAAAGCAGACCTCTGAAGCACATCTTCACCCTGCAGAGGCTTTTTTTGACACCCTGCTCTAGCCTTTGTTGTCGGTTCAGTGCGACAATCCCGGTCTGCAACACCGGTTCTGCTGTGCCTGTTTGCCACCGTCTGTTGAAGTTGAAACACCAGGTTACAGACTGCACAGTTAGTTCAACACTCGTACTTTAGTTCCTTTACACCTCTTGGGTAAATACCATCTGATCCCCCTGGTTTGCAACTGTCTCCTCTGTGTTTTCCATACCGTCTGTTGTCAGTTCTGTCCCGTAACCTTCTCTGACACCCTCCTGGATTCAAAGGCGGTTTTTCCTCAAATTATGGTGCTCAAACCTGAAGTGGAGCCATGAGCTGAGACCTCGTGAGTGCTGAGGAGAGCAGCAGTATTGCCTGATGTCTTACAGATGGTGTTCCTTGTTATACATCCCATTATATATGTTTTTTTCACAGCAACACACTACTGCTGCCTCATCCTCAGCGTGCAATCCAGTATTTCTTCTCTTTCCACCCCATCCTTTCTGCTGCCTCATATCATTCCTCCCTACAAGGGTGGTGAGGCACTGGGACAGATTGCCCAGAGAAGTTGTGGATGCTCCATCCTTGGAAGTGTTCAAAGCCAGGTTGGATGAGGCTTTGAGCAACCTGATCTAGTGGAAGGTGTCCGTGCCTGTGGCAAGGGGGTTGGAACTAGATGATCTTTAAGGTCCCTTCCAACCCAAAACATTCTATGATTCTGTGATTTTAAGACACGTTTGGTAACTGGTTTGTTGGAGGCGTCTTTAATGGTGGCAAAAGGCAACAAATTGATGAGTTTGAAGATTGTTGGCTTGTGGTTTCAAAGCATAGAAGCCACAATATTGATGTGACCAGTGCAATATACCTACTTTGGACTCAAAGAAGCTCCAAAAAGGAGAAAAGTGGGTTGCAGTATCTGTGATATCTTTTTTTCTTAACTGGTTTTCAGTTGTTGATCTTCTTGCTTTTGGATTTTTTGGTTGTTTTTTCTTTTTTCTTTTCTTTCTTTTTTCCTGTTTGCTGTTTGGGTTTTTGGTTTGGTTTTTTTTTTTTTTTTTCAAAAAAGGGGGCTCATTTTCAAGCTGGATGCTTCCATGTGGCTTCTTCTCCCATTAAAACCAGACCTGGAACCTGGACTCTCCACTCCTTTAAGCAGAGTGCAATGGTATAGTGAAAGCATCACTGCCCTGGTGCAAACAAGGGTGCCGGGGCCCAGGAAGGAAGGTGACCGAGTGTGATGGTGTCCCTCGATGTCTCCTTCCAGGAGCAGAGAAGCTCTCAGGCCACATGAGGGGAATGCCAAGGCTGTAGCAGAGAATTTGCAGGCTGAGGAGGAGCAAACCATCTGTGCTCCCGTCATCCCGGCAGGCTGGTCACGGCGTGTGGATGGATGGTGCCCTCGCGTGCGGGAGGACAGATGGCACAGTGCTCCCCAGCTCCCACCGCGACCTTCAGTGCTTGCCTCCATCACTCGCCATGTGCCTTTGGCTTTACGAGGCCGAACGGGGAAAGGCTGCAGCTATGCAGGGTGGGCACAAGTGGAGCTTGGCTGTGGCAGGTGGATGTTTTCATGCTGGAGGCATCAGGATTTGGGGTCAGGAGACCCAAGTAGGCAACAGATGTGTTGCTGATTGGAACCATTCTTTCTGCTGGGATCTTCTGCACCCTCTCACAGGGACCCCATCAGGCAGCACGGTCTTGGGATCTTCACAAGGCAGAATGAGGCCATCCCTGGCGATGTAACCCAACCACATCGAGGAGCAGAGCCCTTCGATGGGAGGCAGGCGCCCAACTCTCTCGGTGATGCCATGCCGCCCTGCCTGCAACTTGGAGCCTTCCCAAGCGGCTGTCAGTCACCGTTGCTGGCCCTGTTCTCACTCACACACAGTATTATCTCTACCCGCTGCTGCAAATTGGCTCTGAGCAATCCTTGATCTGTCAGCATCGCCTACCCACTCTCAGATGTCACCAGCCCCCGCTGCTGCCCTGCTCGGGAACGTGTCTCTCTGAAATGTAATAATTCATTAAGTTGAGCTTAACTTTCTTTTTTTT